GTTACTTTTTCCAACATTGCTGATTTTTTCCATAAAGAAAGTAAATGTACCATTTGCATCATGTTCTCAAGGAAGTGTATGTATATCTATTAATGTTTTTTTTAAGGACAGATATGGTAACTAAGGTATATTCTACAGCTGGACCTATTTAGTCTTGGTGGTGACTGTAGGTAATCTACAATCTCCAGACGCAATTTAGCCATGGCAGACAACTTGCGAAGGTATTTTTTTAATTCCTTTTATTAATTTTATTTTTATTTATTCATTTTATTTTTATTCATTTTTATTCATTTTTTTATTCATTTTTATTCATACATTTCTAACTTTCTAGTTCTTGCCTAAGCAGTGTTATTCCATCTTTCATTATAATGCCATTTAGTATCATATACAAATAAAGAGTTTTCTATTTCGCCTTTTCCAGACACATCAAAACTTTATATACACTTTGGAAGGTCACACTTGCACAAGAAGCCCCGCCTCCTAAAAGAAAGAGAGCCCCGCCTCCTAAAAGGAAGAAGAAGAATTCCCTGAAGTCCATCGCAACCCTGTTTCACACTATCTGTTATTATTTTCTGGCTCTTATACATGTAAAAAGGTTTCTGTTCCAAGGAAAAGAGTCTGCTAGAGAGGATTCCCTGTACACTAGGCTTCTGTTTATGCTCGAAAGAGGACAAATTGAAGACGTAAAACTTCAACTTGGACAAGACGTTCCTTTAACTTATGAACAAAGAAAAAGTCTTTTGTCTTTAGCAATCGCTGGGGGCAACACAAATTTTGTCGAGTTTCTCCTGCAGAAGAAAATCTATGTCTCAGATACCCATTTAAAACTGGCTGCAAAATATGGGCGAGTTCACACAGCAAGGTTGTTACTGAAGAAGAGATGGAATGTTAATGTACTTCGAACTGAAGCCGAGTATTATGGAAATATTGCCATTGCGCAACTGGCCATTAAACACTCAAACAAACTTCATTCCAAAATTAGTTTCCAAGACAAATGGGTAAGATTTCTACAGAGCAATTCAAACATGATCCAAATTATGGTACTGATATCTTAAATCTATACGGTTTTGTATTTACATTCCTCACTTTCATTTGCTACCATACTGATAATATCATAAATCATAACTCACAAACTTTAAAAAAGGCATAGCATTTTCATTCAACTAAACCTATTTCCTACTTGCATGATCTTTTCATATATAAAGAGGCTTTTTAGATTTTAACAGCTTTTCCTGTGTCCATTACAGAACAAAACTGAAGCCATCTACAACGAAGAATGGCGGAGAGTCACCAGTGGTATTTTGAAGATTAAAGATGTCCAGCGTTTGCGTGAATTCATCGTAAACAACATAAACTTCATTCACTACCAGGACCACAAAGGATTTACACCGCTCCACGTGGCGGCTGAAAAGGGTCACGAGCTCTGTGTGAGGGAGCTCCTGGAACACGGCGCCTTGCCCAATGCACGCACGACCGACCTCAGGACCTCAGCTGACCTCGCAAACTCCCGGGGTCACAGGAGAATAGCAAAGATCATAGAGAGAAAGATCCAAGTTGAGGACAGCGGAAAGCAGGTATTAACCATGGTTCTATCGAGATTAGGTTTATTGTGCTTAAAGTTTAACTGGAATGTTATCAATTTGTTTTAACAAACGTCAATCTTCTTCCAAGTTTGTACTTTCTTTCCTTTTCTGTATTCTTACAACTTCAAGACTTAATGCAGTTTATGCATAGACGTATTGGTATACGGTACATCTATTTACACACACATAAGGCCTTTTTGGTAACAATTGCAAAACCCCAAACACTTTGATATATGTTTGCCCTTAATGTGTATGTTAATGGAATCTGCTGAAACATCTTTTCATTTTGTATCAAAGTGTTTGCCTTTAACTCCGGCGAGCCAATGAGCCAATCAGAGCGCGATATTTTTCAGATATTTCATATAGTCTCAGAGAGGGATTTATATTTTCATTGATTACGAATCGCAACGCAAGTTCCTTGGTATAACTTTTTATTGCAAGAGTGCATAAAATGTTTCTGCGCCGTTTTAGCAATACATCAAATGCATGTTCATTCTATATGGGTAAAATTTTATGTCAATCACGATAGTCGCTGGAACAAAATGGTAAGAATTTCCAAGATGTCCGAGTCACATGACGTGGTATTGACTTTGGTGGAATGAATTATTTCAAAATCCTTCTGTACCTCTATGATACAACCTTACAAGCTCAAAAATATCAAAGAAAATGTTGTATATCTTGATTTAAAGAAATAAGTCATGTAAATGTCCGTGATCATTGGAATGACCTAGTTAATTTGGACACGAGATGCAAACAATTTTCTCCTATTCATATGAAGAAATATGTATGCAATAAGAATATTTTTGACAGAATCTGAGAAATAAATTTATACTTTCCACATCCTTACGAAGCGGAGAATGGTGTGTTTAAACAATACAAGTTGCAGAGTAGTCAGATACTTTTTCCATTTGATTTGAATTTCCACAATGTCTTGCTTGTAATTAAAAACCATACCAGCATATTATGTACTCTAATAGTTTTCTGTTGACTTTCTTTACGCAAAATAAATAAAGATAACTTTTCCTTTTTTTAACATTTTGTATGTCAGTACAAATTTCGATGATATAGTGTTCTGTAGCAACTGTGATACAACTCCAAATAATGTATCAGAGAGTTAGGGGTTTCGGGATGCTAGAAAAAAGGCCTTTGCATGTCACACAAACTAGAAATGTGGTCCCATTTTAGAATATTCATAGCTTTAATATTGACAGAGTCGTAAAGACGTGTCCAAACGATACTTCCGTCTTCTGGAGGCAATTTCCAAAAGTGGGAAAACCTTTGGAAATGATATAGAAGACAAGGCAGCAAGAGTCGAGATGGTGAAGACTGTGACATCATTGCTTTCAACCGGAACTCCTCTCGAATTTTGTGGACCCTTTAACAACAGTGCTCTCCTGCTCGCCATTTCCACCAACAGCACACTGCTTCTTCCCCTGCTGTTGGCTGCAGGGGCTCCTCTCACTGCTACCACCTCCGGTCTCGGACCCCTCCAACAGGCACTGATCACTCCAGGGGTAACACCTTGGGTCGGTGTGGTGGTGGCAAGGGTAAGTGACACTTATATAGCTTCTAACCAGCATTAAGACATATGTGAGAAAATTTTAAAGCAGTGAAATCAGTCTTTACATTACATTTAATTTGCAGGCTATCCGGCATAAACTCAAAGTCGAAATGGACTTTGTTCCTCAAAATCCCATGGACCAGATGTTAAAGTCAGGAATAACTGATCTGTTACAACATCTAGAAGGAATGGAACCCTGGAAAGCTAAGTTCAAATGTACAAAGAACAACCCTGAACATCTCACCCAGTTGCTGGTTACAGCCTGCAAGCGGGGAGCCACTACCTCTGCCTGGTGGGTATGGCAAGCAGGTGGCAACCCTGTCTCGCCCGTCGCCTCCACCTCAGCCCTCCATGCAGCACTTAACCCTGAGCAGCCTCACTTGGATACGGCAAGGGCGCTTATCCTCCACATGGGGTGCAATCCTTTCGTGCCAGGTGAAGATGGTTCACTCCTCTTCAACAACTTACCGTTGGAGTTTCGGAAGCAACTACTGCAGGTCAGAAGTAAAACAATGTACTTTTGAGAGAGGATAATGTCACTCGGCAAGATATATTCATTCCAACTTCATTACACTATTCATCATGAAGATAAAATATGTTAAAAATGTCTTGTTCTGTGGAACTATTATTTTTTTAGTAATGGCTGTTTCATAACTCATTAAAAAGTACAGTTATATTATTTTCTTCTTATATTGTCGAATTATATACTTAAGATGCATATCTGAATAAGTTAGCCACTTAGGGAATGCATTGCATTTCTCATCAGGGAACATTAAAGAACATTAATCAAAGGATACTTTTTCTATTCTAGAATAGTTCATGCCAAGCTATACTAGTATGTGTATGCTAATCTATTGTATTACTGTTTAGGATTCCCTTGCAAGAGAGTACCGGTGCCTGTACATGGAGATGGCAAAGGCACGACGCCACAGAAACAGAAAAAAAGTCATAGATCTCCAGCGCCTTGTAGTTCTGCTGGTTATCCTTTACATTCAGTACGAAATGCACAGCGAAGAAGCATCTTACCCTTTCCTGCAAAACCTGTTGTCATGTAGTGAGTTGGAACTAACAGGGAATCAAGAGGAAGAATTACATGATTTAAATGAAGAATGGATCACAAGTCTTATCAGGAAACTAGATGCTGATTGTGAAGGGAAGACTACATCTATCTCACTCGGCAAGGATGAAGAGGATGAATTCTATGAATTATTTGAATGCATGAGGTTATTCTTCAGAAGAGAATGCAAAGGCAGTGATTACAACATCAAGCATAAACATGGCTGTCTCGACCTTCTCTATAAAAAAGCATTGATGATGTGTAGTAAAGAAAATCTTGTTGCATTCCTTTATCTGCTAGTCAATGTGGCAGAGGTCCCTGTATACGGGGAAGTGGATCCTATATGTGGCACGCAAGCTCTTCATCAAGCAGCCATGCACGGTAACCTGTCCATAGCAATGTCACTGGTCTGCTTTGGATGTTCTAAAGAAGCAAGAGATCATGGCAGAAACACGCCTTCGCATTATGCCTACATGGCCGGCCATAAGGAAGTTGCACAATTTCTCGCGGATGGCGTTGAAAATGAGGTAAATAACCATGAGTTACGACCACGTGACATACTTAAGCGTTACAACACCTATCTTGACCAGCAAAGTCTCACTCTTTTAAGTAGTATAAAAGAGGAACAGGAAATATTTAATGACAGTAAATCACTGACTGAACTTCATCTCCACCATCTTAGAGAGACATGGGAAGCCAAAGGGGGTCTCATCAAAACAGTTAAGGGTACTCATGTGGACTTTACAAAGAGCGAGTCTTTAGAAGTCAAACAAGCCATCACAAAAGTAGCCGAAGAACTCATTTCTAACATTGCCAAAGTCAACAAGCTCTTTGAGGGAGACCTTGTCGGTGTAGGAAGTGCTGCAGATGATACTAGGATGTTCTGCCCTGACGAATATGACTTCAATCTTGTTTTAAGAAACGTAAGTGGTCACCCGGGAGGAGGACTTAAATTTGAGCTTCAGAATTCCCCTGAAACGGAACTAGTTCGGCAACACATAGAATTATCAGCTGAAAGTAGTGAACTCGAAAATCTTATGAGTGGATCTAATTTCACTGATACGTTTTATAGCATAGCGAAAGATTGCTTGAAAAACTTGAGGATTGGTGATGAAAGGCTCATCTTCATCTCTCCTGGGGTCAAGAACACTCAGGTAGGCATTAATTTGTGCATGGTATGGATGGGCCAAGAGTTCCCTCTCTTGATAATAGACGTGGATATAGTTCCAACAGTAGAGGCACCTTGGCCCCAACAGCACCCGCGGCCCCTTCTCACTCCCTCAGACATGAACACAGTTTATCTCAGCAACACAACTAGGAAAGAATGGAGGTTTTCCTTCGGTGTTGCCGAAAACCAGATCATGAAAAACCTGACTGATCATCAAAGAAGAGTGTTCTTAGGCTGTAAATTGCTTTTGTCATCACTTAAGGTATCATGGTGGGCGCCAAAGGAGACCAAGAAACAGTTCACTTTCTGGGATAAACGAGTGTTTCGACTCTCAGTTCCTGCAGGCTTTGCCTTGAAGAATGTGTTTTTCGAAGAACTTCAGGATGTGCAAGATGCAAATCTCTGGACAGATGACCATCTTTTGGATAGAATGAAGTCTGTCTTCAGCCGCATGTGTGAAGAGCCGAGTGACCCTGAATGCCAAATGCCGCGCAAGGTGATGGCCTATTTTGGAGGCAACACCCAGCTCCCGTCATTTGCACTCGGAGCCCCAGATATTCTAGCGTTCCTTACGTCATTAGATGCATTACCAGTCCAGCCCAGTTCTAAAGCGTGAATGTGTTCAGAGAAAGTTGGTTTGAACATTATGCTTTTTCGATTAGTATTCAGTATTTTTTTCTAAAGACTCTTTTTTATCAGGAGTTATAAATTTCCATCAGAGGAGTACTAGAACTGTTCATTTCAAACGATTGTTTAAGATTAGTTTATTAAAATGAATGATTCTTATGTATAGGAATGGCACCATCAGCAGCTTGTAACTAAGAAACTGTAATAGGAATACAGGTATATATTCATTACTGTTTTCTCGTCTCTATATTTTACACATTACAAGTAAAGGTAACTTTTCATTTTTAATTGCTAACATGTCAGATACAAGAAATCTCATTATCATTCTATACGACGTTATTACAGATATTTAAGTCTTTTCAAAAAGCACATAAATATGGTAAGTTATGGTTTAGCAACAACAAAACAGGTGTGGAAATAATTAATGATTATTAATCTGACGGATTTTATGCTGATTCGACATTGCGTCATCAAGCAACAAATATAGCAAAGAAATACTGGACCCTCTGACTCTTTGCATCGTTTGTTGGGAAGACTTTTTTTTCCTTGTTCTTGTTTTTGCCACCATGAGGAATGTGCATTTTTAGCCATAAAAAGGCTTAGTTTTATCAGCCACACAAATCAAGTATTGTAAAAATCCTGTAACAGAGGCTTGTGGATTTAGCTCCCACGTCTGGTATTTTTTTTTCTCTCTTTCTTTTAATAACTTGTAAATCTGTTTGATCATAGAATTCTGCAGGCTTATGGGCTGAATACAAAGATATTTATGATTTATATGTGAACTGCTCACAGCGGCAGATGATTAAAGGCCTATTGTCGGAACAGTACAATTTCATGTCTTGCACAGTTTCCTAAATCATATCTTTTTACTAATATTTTTTTAATACCAGCCATTCATAATGATTGCATTATACTAATACCACTGTTACTGCTTACAGCTATTTCAATGTGATAAAGAAAGTATCCATTTCTATGTGAACCGATGATTCATGGAAATGACAGATTGGGATTTTTCTTACACATTGGTTTGTCTTTCTGAATTTCACACCGCATCATGCTGCTTCGGATTTGCGAAGTTCTAGCTTCGCCCGGGTCTTCCATATATGGCCTGGTAAACGCACCTTCAATTCTAAGCATCGTTAATCAGAACTGTTTATCTGAAGGTAAGAGAAAGCAGGGAACCTTTGACTTTTACTTCAGCCATTGTAAGATTCATAACAATTAACCTTTCATGCGTTTTCTTTTGTGATTATTGCAGAAAGAAAAATCTTGATCTCTCATGATTGTTTTCTTTTCTTATGTGATGAAAACAATAAACCTAACTTTGTGATATTATAAAGTGTATATCAATCTTTATTTCCACTTGAGTTGTTTTTTTAAGAGATGTTAATTTTGTAATGATCACTACTAGTTTACTATAAAATTATGAAACAATAAATATTTGTAGTTATATATGTTTGTGTTCGTATATTGCGCATGTACGTCTTTGTGTAACATGACAAAGTCTTACATATTTTATAGGTATATATTAAAAAAAATCTAGTTTTTGAGGTAAGTATATCCTATGTATCAAACACAAAAAGATCGATGATAGGAAACATTTTTACCCAACCAGTCAGTACACAGGTAAGTGTTGAATGTATGTATGTCTGCTCTGTTATTACTATGTCATGGTTATCATAAGTGATCATGTTAAGCCCCTTAGTACAACAGGTGTTTTCAATATTTCAGTTGTGAATGTGTATGAAGGGGATGGAAATAATTCTTATAATGTAAGCCTTATGGTAATCTTTGTTTACTTTATTTCATTCAGAAACTTGGTTTACTTTTAAATATGGTGTTGATTATTGATTATTATTCTGTATAACAGTCTTTGCAGGTCCTAGCCATATAAATGAATATTTAATGTATAGATTAAAAAAAAGCATCGATATTCACATAAATACATAAAGTAGTTGGGTAAATTTTCTATTTTTGAGATGCTTGGTAAAAGAGCTACGATGCAAAAACAATTTTCTTAATGAGTGGTAGAAAATATGTGATATGAAACCAATTCATTTTGACTTTCGCACGCTGTCGTTGCCTAACTGTAACGATATCACATTTACGTTTCAAGACTAGTCACACAACATACACGTGATATATATTAAATGTGACTTTTTTATAACAATTGATATCACCGTCCATTCTATCAATAAGTTTGTGTGTGCATGATAATAATAATGATGACGGCGTGTTTTCTGTCGTAAGTTGGATTTCCACGATAAAAACTGTGTTATCTTATCTGTATCATAT